GGGACACCGTCACAACATGACTGGGACACAATCACAACATGACCGGGACACCATCACAAGGTGACCGGGACACCAACATGACATGACGGGATAACCATCACAAGATGACAAGGACACCATCACAACATGACCGGGACACCGTCACATGACCCGGACACCATCACAACATAACCGGCACACCGCCAAAACATGACCAGGACACCATCACAACAGGACCGGGACACCATCAAAACATGACCGGGACACCGTCACAGCACGACCGGGACACCATCAAAACATGACAGGGACACCATCACAACATGACTGGGACACAATCAAAACATGATCGGGACACCATCACAACATGTCCGCGCCACCATCACATGATCGGGACACCATCAAAACATGACCGGGACACCGTCACAACACGACGGTGACACCATCAAAACATGACCGGGACACCATCACAACATGACCGGGACACCATCACATGACCGGGACACCATCAAAACATGACCGGGACACCATCACAACATGAACAAGACACCATCAAAACATGACCGGGACACCAGCATCACATGACCCGGACGCCTTTAAAACATGACCGGGACACCATCCGCCCACCAGCTCTGACGGTGACCCGACGGCGCCCGTCCGCCTATTAGTTTTGCAAGACCCCATAGCATGGCTATTGGGGAAAAAAACTGAAAAGGAAAGTGCATCTGCCTTCCGAATACGAAGGTTTTTGGGATTCTATGAGGCACAAAAGGTTCTACGAACACGCTGGGTTGCCATGAAGGCAGTAGAATAGGTTCTTGCAAAAACCCTTTCTGACACCTCTAACATTCAAAAAACATCAATTTCAAGAAAACTTGTGATTGACGCAATGGTGGAGAAGGGGGCGCCAATTGGGTCCAAAACCAACCCCCTCTCTCCAATTGTTGGATAAGTCCAGCACCTGTCGTGAGGCTCCCAGCCGAGTTCACATGCTGCAGGACATTGCCGAGAAATCCTCTCGCTCTCACTGAGTGGAAACCCATTTTCGGAAGGGTCGTCTCATTTGACTTGGTCCAAGTGGTGGACACATACATATCTCTGATCTCTCAGACCACACCAAAAATGTTCATAGTCTTGGGTTTATCATAACCCTCCTGGATCCTCCTCCAGAAGGAATAGGTATAGTCAATTATAGTGGATGGACGTGTTATCTTGCAGCCAGTTGCCTACTAGTACGTGGCAACTGGATTCAATCGGCGACCGGGGATCGGTTCCTTGAACCGTTGGACAACACTGTGTTGAGGAAGTAAGTCAAGACTTCCCTCATACAAGTATGTCATGCCCAGGTGAGAAGTGGCCATTTTTTGTGGTCATCCTGAATCCCTATCAAACTCTAATCGTTCGTTGAATTTCGGATGGACATGTCCAACTGAACTCCAGCATTTCCAGCGCTTGTGATCAATTCCCTAAAATCTCCATGAAACCGTTCACCATGGATTCGCAAATCCCAAGTCGTTCACCATGTTCGAATCTTCGATCCTAAGATGTCTTAAGCCTCTGGATCTCACATGCCGCTCCTGCAGGATCTCTGGAAGCCACCGACATGTTCTCCACTTGAGCCTTTAGCCTCGCAGTGGCTTTTCTGCCACAAAGAATGGTGGCAGCAGGCGGTTGCTTTGTTCCTCTTTGTTTTGTTTGCTTTTCGGGGAGGCCTTGCAAGATGGGAAGGCTTATTGTGAGATAAAAGGGCGTGTGAGAATCGTGTTCTGTCTTGAAAGAAAAGTACATTGTACATCTGCATCTCAGCCAGATAGAAAATGCCTTTCAACATGCTCAGTCTGTTTTGTTTCAGACCTAAGAAGCTTCCACTATGTCTATAGATTCTAGATCCAGTAGCTGAACGGATAGATTCGACATGCTTATGTTTCAAAAATTCGACCTGTTTCGTTGTCGACTTGGTTATCGATCAACGACTGGGATCTTGGTCGGAAACCGCGTGAGGAAGCCTTGCGCGGGCGGCTGCAGAAATAAAGCGAGCGTTGTGCAGCCTGCCGCGGGCGTAAGCAACTTGCCTGTAGCCAGTCAGTACAATGGCTTACTTGCGCGTAGTGCGCCCATGGTGCAAACAGCTTGCCTGTGTCCACCCAGTCCACTAGCTTCGTTGCGTGCACGCAGCGTTGTGGAACTTGTGGCAATCATCATCAACTTGTTGTAGGTGGCATTATCTCATAATAGTTCAAGTTATCGATGTTTGTAGTTCACCATATCGTTTGAGAGGGTGTTGGGCAACCTACATCATAGAAAGACCCCTCCAAGAGTAAACTCTTACATGAACAGTTTTGCCTGTTGCTCACATGATTGTCCTGCGAAGTCTGAGTCTAAGTCGTACTTGTTGCTTCAAAACTCACAACCAGGCTTGAGCAATGATCTAGATGACACGTGTTTGCAAATGCCTGTGCCAGCAACATGTAGCGCAATTTAGTGCATCCTAAATTGTCAAAGATTGAATAAAGGCAGGGCCCTTCGTCGGCGCATGTTTAGTAGTCGTGCCTCATTTGAAGCAATTGTGCATTTGTCTGCCTCACTTATCCATCATCGATCAGTTATAGTTTGGAACTCTTTCGGAGGTTGTTAGTCACACAAGTTCTGACAGCTTCGTTTCTCCAAAAAATGGGGCATGTGGACGATGCGGACGTGGAGTGAGCTTTCAGCGTCCAGTCCCCCTTCCACAGTTCCAGTTGGAGAAATCTAGGATAGTCTACGAAAACTGCTGGGATTCTTGATCTACCCGGATTCCACTGGGCTTCCCTTGCCTTTTTCACTTGCAAAGTCATGTCACCAATTGATCCAAGGATTTTGCCTTGGTCAAAAAATCTAGAATCTAGAACCTACCAGGTGACCTACCTCTGTGGTTGTATTTCCAGGATCGAGTAAATAAGCACTAATCACAAACCCAGTGTCTTCCCAAACCGCCACACGCCTGCGGCTACTCTGACTCTGACTCGAATGAGTGGTCTCTTCGCTGGAGCTCACACTCGCGCAATCCTCCATCAGCACTTCGCCTGGTCTTGCACGTTTGGATTGCACTGTTGCAATCCAATGAAATTGCCTAGTGACATAGTGCAATGTCAATGTTGAAAACCACTCTTGTTTTTGCATAGCATGTGCAAAAAATTACAGTAACCCGCCGTAAAATGCCGAGCTAAACGACCGTATCTATCGGCAGGGAACCAGGCTGGTTGAATTCATGCCTTTTCAGGGTTAGCGTCACGCAACGACGTAACCAGGGTTCGAGCTGCGTGGAAAATACGGAGAAGCACCTCAATCGCCGCCTTTGGTAGGGGCATACTTGAATAAGTGGGGTTACAAGATGTGCCGATGACTTTGCCCTTGAAGAGATTGGAGGGAAAGGGAAATACTTGTATTATTGATCCCTTTTCAGGGCGAGTCATCAGAGTGTTATTGGCTTTGTGTGATATGCTGAACTCATGGTCACAAGAGAAAGGGGACAAGAGAGGCCACGAGATGGGAGTGGCAAATGAGACCACCTTCTTTGGCAGTCATTCCAGACGGAGCCAACCTGACGGACTCACCTGTGGCAAGAGCTTGGAATGCTACTGCGATTCCCACACGCTTGAAAGGGCTTGTCGCAGCAACTTCATTTTTGCATCTTGGGCTGGTAGGTGTCAAGCTGATCCGTAGACGCACCTCCACAATGACAATTGACTGATGCTCACTGGAGTGGAGCCGACTCCGAGTCGGAGGGCACAGAGAAGTGCTAAGTCTCCAAACCCACAAAGCCCGAGGAAGCTCGAAGCGCCCAATGAAGCTGCTGCCAGATGTGACTGGCTGGCTAAAACCGCCCGAAACACCAAATAGCACTGTTTTGTCTGTGGACAGAATTCATGATTCCGCGGCAGGACTTGGATGCGATGCTTACAGTACCACTTCTCGGTGGTAACATTTGGAGTTGAAAACACTAGAGATGTGTCCCACTGCATTCAAACAACTTTAAGCAAGTGTCCGAACTCTTACTGCAATGGCCTTATCTCCCATCAGCACTCTCGCACTATCTGTATACTGTATGTATATATATAATATACTCTTATAGTCACTAAAGTGTGAAGGGGGATCCGCAAACCAATAATTAAAGGTCCATCCCTAGTGGTCCTAAACTGTTGACTCTCCTGCTTTTGGGCGACAGGATTGCAGTGGTCAATACCCCAACCAGCTAACCCGTCTTGTGGAGTATTGAGTATGGTGAAAGGAACCCAGCATTAGAGAGCGACGTAATTAGTTATGGTTGAACAGAACACCTTTAGGGCCTTTACGTGATAATATTGCAAAGCACAAAAAAATAAAACAACAGCGGTATTACATCACATCACATCACATTCATAGTTATAGAGGACAACATGATGTGACACACCCTACCATACCTACATACAAATGCTGTCGCCATGGAACAAAGAATTCCCGTCGCCGTAGTGACCCTCGATCAGTGCCTTCGGGGATACTGGGGATATCCCGTCGAAGAGGTCGTGGTTCGCGCAAGTCCTTCACATTGAAGCCCACCTGGGCTGTAGAAAGACAGAGTTTGTCGCAGCCCCACTCAGTCACAGTCAGACTAAGGACTAAGGTTTAGTTTATCAGTGATCTCTACTAAAAGGAGACGGTTGGTTTTGGACATCTATATACAGTATCTAGGTGGGGGGAGCCAAGGTTTATAGGCTGGCAGAAACTGTTGTTGACTGAAGAGTCTTGCAGTAAATTAAAAAGAAGAAGTGAAACACCTAAGCCGCCAGGGAAATGGTGGGAGGTGAAAAACGATTTCAGGTGGTGCAAGATTATGTTCAAACACTAAAAACCTTTTTAGAACTCCGATATGTGAACAACTCCAAACATTGGCTCAATTCAAAATAACCTGTCTGGCTCAGGAGGAACTCCTATGATCCCTTGTGTTAATGTGTCTTCTCAAACGAAGTGCTAAACGGTCATGGAGATTGTGGCCGGGGCATGCGTTAAATGGCCATAAGACACATTAACTTATTTGAGAAGGATCTTGTCATTTTACTTAAGGACCCAATGACGCTGAGTGCTTGAACATGCGGCAGAGATGTTTAGCGCAGAATGGAAGGATCCGGCTAGGCAACGGTTCTTACCAAAAATGTGGTTTCTTCGGGGCATTACCCTTTTGACCTACTAGTACGGCCAGCCGCAGTTATGTCATGTGAGATGGTCAAAAAGAACATTGGTGATTGCGTTACTGCAGTGTTAATTCTGCCAGCTCACAAGTTGGCATGATAAAATGACAATCCGCTTGCTAAATTTAATTCTCCATTTAATTCCTTTTTGGCATGAGCACAGAAGTGACACACCATGCAAGCATTAACTTTAGAGTTAATTTGTCAGAACTCCTCTTTTCACGCTCTTCCTAGACATGATTAGACATGATTCGGTTCCTGGGTTCCTGGGTCTTTTTGAAGGCATGTCATGTGCAGTTTGGTGCCTCACGTTTTTCTCGCCTCTCTCTCTCTCTCTCTTTTTGTTGCTCTCTCTCTCTCTCTCTCTCGCTCGCTTGCTCGCTCTTTGATTACAAGAGCTTCGTCCCAGCAAACTGCCTTTGTGAAACGTCCATGGGAACGCACTCGCAGAGGCCTAGACATGAAGCATGATGGAGCATGAAGGTATCCTTTTTCCCTGGATTTCTTAATGTCTTTTGGAGGGTATACGAGATACTGCAAAGTTGTGTTCGGCTTTCAGTGTTTGCTTCGTTGATCTTTACCCAGGACGTTGCTGCTAACACACTTAGAGAGAGAGGGAGAGCTCGCAAGAGCACATGTGCAGATACTGGATCAGCAAACTCGTTAGCTCCTTACTGGATTAGCACTTTAATGCGCAACACCAGATTGTCTCAGCTTGAGTATTACGTAGGGAACTTGCGCGAAACGAAAGTGAAAGCAGGTACGTAACTCCAGCGTCCCAGAGTTATATCACTAGTGACCCTCATATGGCTTCAGGCAGAAACTCATGAACTAACGTGTGCAGCTGAATCAACAAGCCTAGCTCAAACAATGCCCACATGACTTTTGGTGATGCCCCGCAAAACAGGTCTAATTTTGAAATGATTGGTCGGGACCTTCTCATCAAATGCCAAACACCTGAGACCTCAATCGTTCACAGGACTTGAACAAGTCCAACGATGGGAATGTTCACCAATGTTTGACCCCACACCCGGATCATCTTCTGCCTGAGTGTTCCTTCGCAAATCACAAAAAGCTAAACCCTGGCCCTGGCCCATCAACCTAGTGCCCACCGATGCCCACAGGCACATGCGTCTGGCCGCTAAGTGCTGTGGCAAGCCCGTGGCACTGCCGCTTGGCACCGGCATGTGGAAAAGCTGTACATCAAGAGAACCTCCGATGTGGTCCTCCGATCAATAGAGCCAACTGAATTACTGAACTCCCGCATTTGCAGGCCGGTGCTATCTGGAATAGTTGCCTACATTAACCCTCATTGTGTGGGAAAAGTATAAAAGTCCGTCAAGTTCTCATGGTAAATGCTTGGAGACTTTAAAGACATCTCATGATACATTCTTGTGATCTTGCAGTCTTCAAGGGATAACGGACAAACTCCTGCGCCAAAAAGTTGCCTGGGATTGTGAATTAATTAGGCAATTAGGTGCTTTGTATTGATACTTCGCCGCACTGGGGATTCCCTTCTGGGGCAATCTGCAAGATCGGTTTGCAGCCCTGTCCTGCCTATTAACAACCATTCAAAAATGGCAGTAGCAACCACACGGTTCACGGCGCGACACATCACTGGTCCAATTGTAGTGGGAGGAATGCTGTACATCCACATTGTTGTTAACCTGTTGCAAGGTCAGTGACTACAAATGTTACCTCCAAGTGTTTGGCCAAGTCTCTGAAAAAAGGCTATCTTATGATTGAAGGCTTGGGGGTTACGTCACCGAACTGCGTGGGGGCTCTTTCTGGACACCACCATGGGTGAAGTTCAGAGGGTCATCGTCAAACAGATCAAAGGGAAGGGCCGGGAAGGGTATTTATTGGAGGGTTGTATACGTGTCATATCTCAATTTTCTACCTGATGGGAAAAGCAGCAAACAGAAAGAGCCCAACCAGGCATGAATCCATTCACTGGCCAACTAAGCTTTCAAACTCACCGTACACCAATGTAAGTTCGCAAGAAAAACGACATACAACGGGGCCAACAATCAAACGCCAAGCATGCATTCACATGCACTCTTCAACATGCCAACACACCTGCACCGCCGATCCGGGCTCCGAGTCCTGCATGCGCAAGTGAAGGGAGCTGACAGCGTCCACCTGCGAGGTGTCCATGAAGTGGGTGAAGCGATCCTGATCCTGCAGCGGTGTCAGTCGAGTTCGCAAACCAAGGTCAGCTTGAAGAACTGAGCTGTCTGCTGTCATCACGATCAGCTGTCGTAAGCTTCAAACACTGTGGCGGGTCATGCATTGCCCGTAGTTGTGGAGCCATCAACCCCTAGACGTAAGTTTCCCTTAAAATCTAGGAACCAAATCATGAGTGCGTGAGTGCGAGCGCTTCTTCAAGGAAGCTCCCCCTGCCCTCAAGGAAGCTCCCCCGCCCTCAGGCAGGGGGAGCTTCCTTGAAGAAGCGTGAGCTATCCTGCGTCTAGTATCTAGTAGCGTCCTAGTAGCTATTAGCTTGCTCCCTCACGTAATTAAATAAGAGCCTTTATTATATAAGTAGGAGCGGGCTTTTAGAAAAGTATTCATTCCCGATGAGGACAGTCAAGCTCACTGCCCTCCGATCTCCTCAATAGCAATGAACTCAAGGAGGGAGAAATTTGGGAGCGCCTTCTCCTGTGTTCCATTCCGTCCAAAGGATGCGAAGGGCCTGTCCAACACCACAGCTCTGGATTCTACCTGAATCAACGCACTCTGTGAGCCACACGCCACTAACTTTGGAGGACTTTGGGTCTTGATGAATTGCAACATGTAGGCTCTTCACCGGCTACGTTGGTTTCAGCGTTTTGGGCGGGTTTCCACTCGTTATGGCCGACACAATGCATGCATCTTCCGGAAAAAAAATGGCGAAGTCATGCATTTGACAACACAAAGGTAATTTACGAAGATCACAATTCATTCTCCCCAATGGTTGATTTCAGGTTTTGAGATCTGTGGGGAAATCCTTGTTAAGCTAACCACTAAAGCCTGTGTCTTCAATGCAAATACTGTATATACAAATACATAACCCTGAGACCCTGAGCAAATTGGCCGTGGCATGGTGTAAATGGCATGCTCCAGCCCCACGTCCACATGTATGTTAAAACCTGTTTGGGGCATGTCAGGTCAGGCATCGACGATGAAATTGATGCCAACCCTGATACATGCTTTTCTACCACAAATGTTTCAAACCTCAGGGTTTGTTGGGGCAAAGATTGCACTAAAACGGTGGATTGTTAGACTGGGTACAGTATGGTGGTCGTCCAAAGCTCAGCCTTTTGGATGGTGAGTGACCACGACCGAAGCTCGTGGCATCTTGGACAGAACACGGCATGTTTGGGTCCTTCCCACCGCTGATACGGAACATCTCCAAGATCTTGTTGGAGGGCTGCCTCAGAGCAATCCCGGACACTTGACACATCTGTACAATCCGAAAGGTCCAGCGGGTACACTTCTTGGAGTTTCAGAAGGATCTCAGGTTATCCGAGGCCCGGTACTCGAGATGGCCTGTAGTTAGTTCAGAGAAGCTCGGAGTGGCGGCTTGGAGCTAGTGAACCTTGCAGTTTGCCTCTCAATGAGAAAGGACCTCAATCGCATGTCTGCTTTTGACAGCAGGGGTGTGGTCCTTGTCGCCTTGAGGATAGCCTCCACCGGGCCATGGAGGAAGATCTCACGGTGTGTTGGTGAGCCAAATGTTTGTGGATGCTGGCTCTTGTGCCAATCAGGCTTGCTTTGAGCAATCCCCAGTGGCAGTGACGATGCTGCATGCTGCACAGTGTGGCATTGCGGCAGTAACGCCCGAAATTTCAAGGCCGGTGCTTTGTGCCAGCAGGAGGGCTCCATCTTTGTCCTGTGATGGTGTCTGTCTTACTTGCCTGTTATGGTTGCTTGTGGATAGCAGTCTAGGCAAACCTGCAAAAGGCAACCTTACGAGGAGTGAAACAGCAAAAGGGTCTCCATGATTCTTTCTGACGTTCTCAAGAGGCAGAATGCAGAGTTGCATGGTCCCTGACCTGAGCAAGCTTTCCTTTGTACAGTGACGGTGAGGGATACATTTGCAATTCTAGCGTCTTTCTTTCGCAGTTCTGTTTTGCAAGACCCATTGTCCAAACATGGGCCATCGTTGCCCGCTCTGTCAGTAACCATCGGCACGTGTGGATGGGTTCCACGGTCTGATGTGCCTTGAGGAAGCACCAAGAAATTTGTGCGGGGCTTGGCTGTCTAAACCGTGGGCGCGCCTTTGCATGCCAAATTCGTAATTAATCGCACGCCGCTAGTCAGAGGCAGAGCCTTCGGCGTACGCAGAAAGAAAAGGTGGTCGACGCATTTGCTCTCGGTCTATAGGAACGCAAATTGGTTCTCCTTCCTTTCATAACACCAGTATAGAGTCCTGAGCTGTAACTGAGCCCCTACTGGCTTACAGTGTAAATTAGGCATAGAGGACAAAGGGATACTGTACCCTTCAATGTGCAGTTGTGCTCGTTTTACGTGTTGATGCAATCTTCTTGGAGCGATTCTATCCACATTGGTAACAACCCAAGGATGTTGTGCTTGTTCGAAGCCATCCCAAATCTTTGGCCACATAATCTGCAAATGCTGAATCAAACTATGTTCTCCCGGATCTCCCATGTTCAATTGTATATACAGTATGTTTATCTACTCTGGCAGTTTAACAGGAGTGTTACAATATCTCAGTTGCAAAGATTTGCACTCATGGATACAAGTTTCAAGAGGATGTCAAAACTGTGAATCAATGCCAATGCTTCCCTGGGGATCTGTGTTGTCTCTGAGGAGGTGATTCGAGAATACCCTTCTCACAAGATGATTGGGACAGAAATGCCTCAGCACCCTCGAGGGGATGTCGGAAAGCCTATGTACGTGCTGGTGAGGTTCTGGCAGGGCTCCTGTGATGCCCTGTCCCAACTCCTTGCTCAAAGGCTGGTGGTGCAGGTGACACGATGTGGATTTTTCACATTAGGGTATATGAATCCCATAGTCTTCCACAATCATGCACCATTCACCAGTGCATCGCTCATGAGCAAGCTAGGTAGCCATGGCCAGACATCAATTTCACCACGAAACAACTTTCGGCACCTCCTGCAAAGCCATGGGGCTTCTGCGGATGAGTGTGCTTAGAGGTGCGCCCACCTTGCTGTTTGCTATAGTCAGGATTGGTGAGCCCATGTGATATCATTTTGATTGTATTAGTGGATGCATGGCCCAATACTTTTTAGTGGCTATCCTCACATGCACGAACACGCCTGCATACCCTGTGACCTTGTGTGGCGCGCGCCACTTTTCCGAGCTCGTGCTGGCTCTGGTGTTGTGTGTCCCAGTCCTTGGCAGCCATGAGACGCCAAGTGGTGACTGTGGAAGAGAATATGAAGGGGGATGAGTTGGTGGTAGAAAAACCTATGAAATTCAAAGTGTCAGCTCCTTGTATTGATTGGAGTGAGGCATAATTGACACTTATTAATATATAATATAGTGGATTGCATCATGCATTGCGCATTGCACCTTATATACCTCATCGCATATGGGGGTCAACTGAGGCTGTGGGCCGAGAGATCTTTGATGCCCTGAACAAGTTCGGAACCAAATGGGGGCCCAGCATCATGTCTTCTGATGACAGGGCCCTGACAATTTGGGAAGCAAGGGACCGAGATGTCGTTATGGAGGCTGACCTTGAATCCAACTTTAGTATCCTTAAAGAAGTTTGCCTGGGATGCGGAGAACAGTCACTTCGTCGAGTGGGAGAACCTGGCATGAAGGAGATCCCAGTTTTGGCTGATTTTGAGGCTGGTCCAAGGTTTATTGAACTCCTTCATGGCATGCTTGCATTTCAACCAGGGCCACGTATCTAGTGTACACAGTTCACATGCATGAAGTTGATATGAAGCATCAATATACATGTGCCCCTGGAGTTTGTATGTAGAATGTGTACCTGCTTCCAATCCCCAGCCTCCACTATGGAACTGAAATATTATTGTTTTTTCTGGTATGCTTCACCAATCCTGTGGAGGCTGCGCTGCTTTTGCTATCTCTCCGTTCCAATTTCCACTGTCAGTGGCACCATCGACGAGGTGGGAAAGGATATATTCGAGAGACTTGGATCAAAAAAGTTTGCAGCTGCAGGTATGACTAGCTAATTGACGATATGCATATGTATAAAGAGATAGATAGCCCAATGGCCACATGTCACAGATGTTTCTTGCAACCATTTTTTTAGTCGTGTTCAATTTCTCATTTCTACCCAGACTTGGGCTGCTGGTGAAGCCCACAAGATCCGCCAAATGCTTACACATCTCAGAGATCTGACCAACCGTGCACGAGAGAGCAGGAGCAAATCTTGCAACAAATTTGTATACTGATGATCACTAGTGTGTGTGCTTATGCATCTGATTCAGGGGATTTTTGGCTTTGTAGGAGTGAGAAGGTGTCTGTCTTGAAGAACATCCTCACAAAATTCAGAAAGCTTCGTGATGAGAAGGTTGGGTGGTGTGTGTACATGTGAAATTAATGTTCTTTCAAACCTCAAGCAAGTATGCCAAGTTTTGTTTATGTTCTTTTCGTGTAGTCCTATTAATGTTCAGGCCCGAGGACGGGACTTTGCCATTGAGCCGCCTGTTGATCTTGGTGAGGACTTCCCACTCTCTATTGATTTGCAATGATGCTCAATGCAGCTTATATATATATGTATATGTAATGTAGTTGGGAAAGCAGCCCCAAACGAGCATGTTTTTCTTGATGTTGATCCATGTACAATTATATAGGCATTGATGATGCTCCTGCAGGATTTGCAGCCATTGGATGTGGAGTTCGATGATGAGCCCATCATTGTTGCTGTGATTGGGGACCCGGGAAAGTTGGTGAAGGCAGAGTCTCATGAGGATGATGATGTGCTGGTAACTATGGATGGAATCGAACAGGAGACATCCTATCATGCATTTTTGGCCAGTCCATCATATTTGACATTCGTCGGCTGTGTTTTCACATATATAAGAAACAATCGGTGGTTGAATGTGGTTGAGGATGGGACTATGAGCTACTTGTCCAACGAGGAGGATGAGGTCAACCCTGGACCAGGTGCTGTTGCTGTTCAAGGTGCTGTGGAACCTGGGATGGCTGCTGTGGAACCTGGGATGGCTGCTGTGGAACCTGGGATGGGTGCTGTGGAACCTGGGATGGGTGCTCTGGAACCTGGGGTGGGTTCTGTGGAACCTGGGATGGGTGCTGTGGAACCTGGGGTGGGTTCTGTGGAACCTGGGGTGGGTTCCATGGAACCTGGGGTGGGTTCTGTGGCACGTGTGGAAGATGCTCCCGTCCTTGAGCCGCTCAAGAAAAAGGAGAAGATAGAGAAAACCGCATTGATTGCCAGCCCACCTGAGTTGCCTGATGAACTGTTGAAAAAAGCCATGGAAGCAGTTGAAATGGCTAGGAGTGGTGGGGCTCTTGCTTTGAGCACGGATGATCAAAGGTTACTCAAAAAGAAATTAGATGCTGATGCCAAGCAAGAAGCTGAGAAAAAAAAACAGGATGCACAGAACAAGAAGCAGGAAGCTGCAGCCAAAGCACTGGCAAAGGCTCAGCAAAAGTTGCTGAAAGCACAAGAGAAGGCAGACAAGCTGCAAACCAAACCAGCAAAACGGAAGTTGGATGCTGACTTGTATGCAGTTGCTGAGCCTGGCCATTCTGGGCCACCTCCCAGCCCACCGAAGCCCCAGCCCAAGAGGAGAGCAGGCAGGAAGGTAAAGGCCTCATCCCCCGACAACAAGTCAGCTGTGATCCTTTCACCCAAGGCCAGGGAATTTGCGAAGGGGTCTGGGAATGCTTTGAAGGAACAGGAAGCAAGGCAGTCTAGGACTGTTGCCTCTTTGAATTTGCTTCGGGAGCTAAAACTTCCCTACCTGACTCTTCCCTCTGAGACATTCTCGAAGAAGAAACTTGGGTGCATTAAATGATCAATATATGGGAATTCTGTGTGAACTCTGAACTAATCATGCAAGGGAATATGTGAAAACATGTGCCCTAAGGAGCTTCACCCTCAAAGACCCCAATGCAGAGGGTAGTGGCATTGGTGTCGTTCTCTACCAAAAGGCGTTCTTTGTTTCGAAAGCCAATGCCCAACGAGCTGTGGATCTTTTGCACCGTGAGCCATATCCAACTGGTGGCATCACGATTGGTTGGGAACAGGAGGGTGCTTGCCGAGCGTTCACCTGTCCTGTTTGAACTTTTGAACTTTGCATGCATGTGTGAACTCAGGTTATTACAATTGTGTTTTTTCGATGTCTACTGTAAAAATCTATGCTCATGCCTCCCCGGGCCAGGTGGTTGATTGCCCGCAAGATTGCTATGTGGGACAAGTGTATTGGTGAGGATGAAGCATCTAAGC